GGTTAGGGTCGGCCCGTCACCCCAGACATACAGCCCGCAACGGCGGAGCAGCACAGCGGCACGGCGTGTGAAGATGGGCCTGACTTCATGGAGCGGTAAAGTGAGGGTGGCTCGGCATTTTCAATGATAGTGATACTATCACATAAACATGACAGTAAAGCGTCTTCAGTGCGACAGGAGACGCTGGTAAACAGACGAGATGCAAAAAATATATTTGATAAAAATGGGAGGTTTCGATCAGCTATCACTTTCCACGGTAAAACATTAAAATACCGATACTGAAATCCGACTGAAATGTCCAGTTTTAATGCAATCCCGTACATATAACAGTAATGACATAACATATTAGTTTGGATCAGCTATCATTATCCACGGTAAAATTGCTTCTGACATCTGACCGCAATGCCCAGTTTTTAACACAATGGTTTGCACATCGCGCCTATACAAACCGGGGCTTGTACACTGACCGAGACCGGGACATTGTGCGTTTACCGGGACTGGTGATATTTCAAACGTCGTTCATCATCAGGCATTTAAAAGGTGTCCCGCTCGCTTCTCTGCGCCAAGAGGCGACGCTACTGGCGTTGGCGGCCCCGCCGCCAACGACGCAATGTTGGCTCGCGCCCCAAAAACGTCAAGCGGATCACAGCATTTGTAAGCTGTTTAACGCTTATGAATCTCTGGGACACATTCTCCGCGCAACATTGTTCAGCGCGCTCGGGGTAACGGACAGATACTATTCAAAGTGGTTCATCCTTGTTTCGCTGCGAGAAGAGCTGGCGCCGTTGACGGCGGCACAGCACTGCCTTCCGCCACTGTGCATTGGTTCGCACCTCAATGGTGCGCAGTGTGTCCTGATCCCTTTTTTTGTCTTACGATGCTCGCGGATATTGACAGCGGCCTCCATATGAGGATGTTCACCCTTTCTCGTGCTCTGCGGCATGTTCTCAAGGACTTGGAGCTTGAACGACTTGCTTTTCCCGAACGTACGAAAATGATTCCCACAGGTAAATGCTACAGCGTGCCCTGCCTTCCTACGCGCTGTGACCGGCCGGTATCGGTCGGCCGTGACTTTCAGCCGCAGCGTCACGAAGGCTGAGCCCGTCATGTGTACGCATTTTACCACAGTCCGTGCACCCGTCTGTCCTGTGCGTCTGGGTAAAAAATACAGACACACAGACAGACGTACGCTCTTAACTTAACATCATGTGTCGCCTACTAATGGTTGGGGAAGCGTTCCGGACACGTGGTCAAGGATCAACTGTCAGCAGCAGATTGCGATGACCTCCGAACATAAACCCACAGGTCGTTGCAGTTTTACCCTGGAACGAGAATGCGATTTGCCGCCCTTCTCGACACACGTTATTTATTACTTTGTTGACATCGTAGCGTCTCCGTTTAGTTGGCAAATTTGCATAATCCGGCAGTTTGGAATCTCAGCCCTGAAGTAAAACCCGGCTAAGTTACGGCCTGTAATCTAAACGTGAGCGTCTGTCATTAAGATGAAACTCCAACAGGAACAGGAAGCAGCAATTCAACAAACAGTGTTTCCTATGGCCTTTTTTCCGTGCAGGACTATAACGTGATCGAGGCCTGTTATTCACAACACCACAATTTTTCATGACTCAAAGACCGGGAGCTACAGGCCTTTCTTATTTACATAACTTAGGTGGTTGAATTTTTATGCGATGCATGAGCGCTTGGACAGGGACTTTTTCAACCTGAAGCAACTCGCAATTGTCTTTCTTGTTCTGTACTGCTTTGATGCAATTTATTGCCTGTGTTAACTCGGCTCCCAGTCAGTATCAGCCACGCCATATGACATCGCACCCGATCACCACCCGAAGTCACGTCCGGTCACCTGACAGGAGCTGAGCCGAAGTAGCGTCTTAAGCGCACGTGCGATAAGTAACCCAGTTTGATGGTGACATTTCTAAACTAAATACTGCGACACAACGCATGGACCGAAAATGCAGAAATATTAGAATCGAATGGGGTGACCTGACTTTATTCTCTGACATTCAACATTGCTCGCATGATTCTAAAACGTCACACGCATCGTTTCGTTTCGTACCAATGGCAACGCTCTTCGACCCAAATTACGACTTCTAGATGTCTCTGAAGTCGTTAGAGAATCCGGCGATTGCGAACAAGCATCGGTAACATAACACTACATTGTGTTAGTAAGTAGTAGCATCAATACTACCCTGAAGCGCAGTGTTTTGCGTGATCTGTGACGTCATAAATCATGTGATAGTCATAAACTTAACAATTTATGGGTGAGATTGACCAGAGCCAGTGATTTCCGGCTGAACTGTTCCCATCCGACTATTAAATCCTGAGACACCAGGGGCTTACATTTAGTCCCCCCCCCCCCCCCCCTCTTCCTCCTGTGGTCGTGCGCGGCAAGATATCTCAGGCGGTGGCGGGTTTAACTTGATTTCATCCGACTGAGGCGAAAGCTCTGTCCCCTCTCTGGTTTACATCATTGTACAAATAAATCGTTTTCCGTACGGCGCCGAAAGTCCGTACCTTTCCTTGCCTACTGAATGTAACACACCCCGGCAAAATCGACGTGCCTGCACTGCCCAAGGGTGGCCATAGGCGTCATTTGTGAGACACATGTCAAGACAACGGGCGGTCTTTTCGCAGGCATACATTGACGCATTATTCACTACTGATAATAGTCATAGTCGCGAGAAGATTGCGGTGGTTGTAAATCCGGATATGGCGCATTAGTATTCGTGTGATATAAATATAACGGCAATCCGCGACACAAACTTTTCTTGTTTTAAAGCTTTTTGCATGAATGTCAGAGCCAGCATACCAATCACATTATTCACCTATGAGTACTTGCTATGGTTTATTGTTTTCCCTTAACACCTATTTTATTCACACAGTACTAAATCCACACACCAAACATAGTGGTAGCATGAAATATCCGGTGCATACATCATCCGTCATTATGAAAAGATCATAGCCAGCATCACTTCCATCCGGTACGACCTGCAGCATACCACACCGTTTGCACTAAAAGGAAATGTGTCACATTTGAAAATATTGAAGGAAGCGTCAGATATGATGGAATAAGCTCTACATTTGTTCATGTCCACATGGGTTCCACATTTGTATGGAGGACACTCCCTTTATTGAAGATAATTTGGTGCGGTTCACAGTTGTGCCCTGCTTAAATCAACCCTCTAGTTTCTGAGCTACACCCCCGCGAAGATCAAGGTCACCCCGGCATCCATGACGTAACAACGTCATTCAAAACCTCACATTCCAGTGGTCACGCGGCAATAAGGCCAAGAAGGATATAAAAGTCAAGTTGCTGAAACCTGGCGTTCCGGAGCACCACCTTCAGATGACGGCCGTCAACTGACCCCCCGTCGATGACGTCCTATGTGCAATGACGCCATCAAACCATGACGCATTGAGGAGATGTTTACTAAATGGAGAAAATGTGTCGTCTAGGTCAGTCTTTTCCACTTAAAGCACACAAATAGTTACGGCTCAGGTTATTTAATCATAGCTGTTGCTTGCTTGCACATCTTCAGTACTGGAATTTTCCCATTGATTCCCGGGTTGGAAGACAAACGTTCTTGCCAGCATGCATGGGGGCTATGCAAGCCAATGAAATTACATCATAAGGCATATGAATAATCGCTTTCTCCTCTTCTGAAACGTAGCAAACACAGACCAAGAAAAGAATGTTGCTTGCGACCATTCATATTTTCACTAGACCATTCATATTTTCACCAGACCACTCCTATTTTCACCAGACCATTTTCATCTGGCAACCCAAGTCATTTTCTTCCAAAAGCGATCTGTTTACCGTTAATACTCGTGATCTAGTCGCCAATTTGTAAGCAATTACTTGCGCAGCCTTTAATTTCTTCGTAGTTAAGATTCACAACGTAATGCGGGTTTACAAGTGACGATATGCTGTTTGTTAGTAAAAATCATCCAATTAATTGTGTAGCAGCGGGCGACATTTTCAAATAATGCGTATCACAGTGCATTTAAATCATGCGATACGTAAGTGCTAAAGAACTCCTCCCATAATATATTTATCACACGACACTGATATCTGAAATGGACAAAAATGACTGTCAAACTACTGCGCAGACATTGAAATGAATCAGTAACATTACAAATGTAAATTTGCCAAGACGGTATGCATCTGAAGAGTAGCCTACATTGCAATAATTGCAATGTTGTGGACTTATACACTGGTAAAGCATTTCACACATATTTTCCCAACTAAAGCCACAATGTGTACAATCTTCCCATCTAGCTGAGGGGCTACGTGTTTGGGTACTTATCGCAGCTCTGCAAAAATGTAAGATGTGCAACCCGTTAATCTGGACTGATTTCTCAGAACAAAGATCGAAACAACTTATAATTTTTCCGCCTGAGTTATTTTCCGGTACGACCCGTCTGCTCACTTGAGTTTCCGTGTCTGGTGTTTTGTTCCTCATAACGCTTCGCATGACAGCAAATTGATTCTGGCTAGAGAATATGCATGATTAACCTAAGTTATATCCATTATATATGTACCATTGAACAACAAATCGTTACCAATTTTGATTCCTTCCTGATATCAGCCTTGTGTATGTTAACGTGCATATTTCTCTTCCAGCGAATCAATTCTTTTGGTAGGTGCATAGCTTGATGTAAAGGTTAAGTCGTCTTGCCTGAAATTCAGCAATTACATCTCATCATAATTTTGGAATCCTAAACACTTAAAGGGGCGGGGACACATTTGAGTGGGGTTTTGAACGGAGCCATTTTAAT